CACATCATGGAGGTTAGGTGTGACCACCTTTGCCTGCACTTGCATAGCCGTGACCTGAAGTCATAGCGCCTCATACCAGTGTGAGCGGTCCACACGCAGGATTTCAGAGGAGAAAACGCTGGCAGCGTGAGGACCCTCGTCTGGAGCGGCTGGTGGAGAGTGAGGAGCCCTGTGGGACCCCCGCCCACCACTTCCTCACTCTGTGCTGAGTTCTTCCAGCCCAAAACGGATGGCACACACCTGTGTCACCCCAGGCCCCGATCGCTGCTCACGGCCCCTGGTGCCTGAGGAGCTAAAGGAGGGACAAAGAGTGGGAGGAGCGGCCAGACCCCTCCTGGGAACCCAGAGCAGCTCTCGAGATCTGGCCCAGCGCTTGGGGTGAGGAGCTCCCTGGCACCCGGGAAGCGGTGTGTGCATTTGGAGCGTCGGCCAGGCACGCTCCTTTTATTCCACACAGACCGCCCCCCCCCCCCCCCCCCCCATGCTGGTTTTCGTCTTTTCTGAGTGGAGTGCAACCTCCTGCAGTGGTGCCTGCGTGTTTGCTAAGTTTGTCACAAACTTCCTGTTTGGGTTTGGTCTGAGGCTCGAAGCTCTGTGTGTTTTGAAACCCGGGCATTCACAGAAGTCCAGCGCTTCTCTCTCAGCGGCCATGAGCGGCCCTTTTGTTTCCCTCCCTTCTGCTGGCTTTTGCCATCCTTTGCAGCCCTTCTGGCTGGGAAATGCTCTGTAGCCTCAGTACTTGCTCCTGTTCGTGAGGGTTGAGAGCTTCGAGAGCTGAAAGCTGTAAGGAGGGCGGGAAGCAACACTCATTGAGCCCCTTATATAAAGCCAGGCGCTGTGCTGGATGTTTCTATATATTTCTTGTTTTATTAAGGCCTCACATTAGCACACGCAGAACCAGGCTCGGTGAGGTTAAGTGGCCAAGGTTGGACAGCCACGAGGTCAGGATTTGATCCCAGGCCCGACTCCAGAGCTCCTATTATGTCAGCGATGTCATGAGGCCCACGCGGTGCCTCTGGTGCCATTGGTTGGGGAGATCTTGATTTCTTATTGGATATCTGGGCAGACAACGTCACCTTGACTCCTAGACTCTTACTGCTCCGGTGCTGCCCGTTCTGTCCATGTGGGGTACAATCTGATGGCCCGAGGGCTTTGCTGACTTTCACTTTTCCTGACCATCCTCCGCCTGAGGTTCTGGGAATCCCAGAATTGTCGTGTGGTCCGTGCTGACAATCGAAGTGAGTTAAGGCCAACTCCCAATTCCCCAGAAATGGGGTATCTTTTTTTCTACTTCTGGGTACCCAGCACTGACCATTCTGCTGGTCACCATGACTCCCCACAGCCAGATGTCTGGTTTCAAGCTCTTTCCCTGAGAAGGGCAGAAGCTAGGATCTCTATCTGTGTCCAGGAGAGTGTGTGAAGGGGTAGCTAAGGACGATACCAAGACCTGGAGTGTGTAAGGGCAGGAGGAGGAGGCGAGGGCTAAATCCAGCCACCCCGCCTTGATAGGAGAGCTGGTACAGGGTGCCAGACCCTGGGTGCTCCTACAAAGGAAGAGCAGATATGCTCCCAAAACCTTCGAGAAAAGGGCTAAATCCAGCCACCCCCCCTTGATAGGAGAGCTGGTACAGGGTGCCAGACTCGGGTGCTCCTGCAAAGGAAGAGCAGATATGCTCCCAAAACCTTCGAGAAGGCTGTGTGCCCCTTCCCTTGTTCATCCCAGGTCTCTTATATTTTCTGAAAAACTTCTAGAAGTACGTCAGCTGAACTTTATCAGAGTTGTTTTGTGGATCAAGTAACCTTCCCCCCTGTGTTGAGCAGTGGGCAGTTCCAGGTGTTTCCAACACAGATTATGAATTAGCCTCAAGGGGTGGTAGTCTATATGGAACGTTTGCTAAGAGACGCCCAATGCAGTGAGCACAGGAGAGCGGGGAAGACCTCAGCAAACGGGGGTGACATGCTCAGGGGACTGCAGGAAAGCAGGGCACTCGGACGGGTGCAGCGGCAGGGGCAGGAACGTGCCCCACATGGCGTGCCACCTCCTGCTGTTGTGCATGCGTGTTTGCTAAGTGTGTCACCTTGGGGGGGGGGGGAGGATGCCCAGGAAAGGAGCACATGGGATGGAGTGGAGCGGAGGGTGCTTGTGGGAAATGAGCTTGAAAAGGGATGTATATCGTTTATGACCGATCCCAGGGGATGGCTGCAGAGTGTGAAATGTTCCCGTATTGGGAGCCAGTTTAATAGGATGGGGACAGGTGAAGACAGTGCTGGAGGGGGGTTCATCTGGGTGTGTGCACTGCGAGTGGGGGTGCTGGGAGGTGAGTTAGAAAGCATCTGTCCTGTTGAGTTCTAGGAATGAAATGTTGAGGGCTTGGACCTGGGTGGAGACATGAACATAGAAAGGAAGATAGAGACGGAAGGTTTCAGATTCCAGCTCTGTGACTTGCTACCCGTGTGACCTTGAGCAGGCTTCTGAATCTCTTGAATCTCAGCTCATCATCTATAAACAGGATTGTTGTCTGAGGATTTTAACTTGTGTTGCACCCTGCACACAGTAGGTGCTCAACCAAATCGGGGTCCTCTCGTACTGTAAGAGGCACAGTTTCTGATTGAGTGGGAGGCATGGGAGGAGTGGAGAGCAAGGCCTCAAAAGGCTCAAAGCATTGGGCCTGGGAGCTGGGAGAAGCACGCAGCTTTGACGGAAATGGGTGGAGCTATTTGGGGCCCCCGAATTCAGTCTTAGGAGGTCTCTCCTCCTAAATCAAGGCTGGCAAGGGCCTGTCCCTGAAGCCCCACAGTCATAGGAAACCATGGCTTCTAGTGTCAGCTGGGCCCTCAGCGGTGCTGGCCGGCAGCCAGCTCTCTCTCCAATCAGGGCATCAGGGTCGGCACTGGGTGAGGCGAGTGAGGCACTCGGGGCACAGAAGTTAAGGAGATGCTCAGTTTCAGGGCCAACCTGCACTCGCACGGTTCTCCCACAGCAGGGAGCCCACTTGGGTCCCTGCCTCCCCTCCTGGGTGGTTATTGGCATCTGGGCTCCTCCCAACCTGGTTCCCTTCCACTCAGAGAAGGACATGTTCCCTCCCCGACCCGAGAACCTTCTTCCAGGACATGGGTCCCTCTGTCTCCTGTAGCTCCTGGGACTGCGCCCCCTCCCGTCATTCAGCACCAAACTCTTTCCTCGAACTTTCCAGTCCCCTCTACTTCGCATTTCCTTTTTCCCTCCCCTCCCAGACGGAAAAAGTCTGGGGAGCCTCTGTCCTCAGGCTCTGCTCCTTCGCTGCCACGGCCCACTCAGGCTGGCTTCTGCCCACGGGTTGGGGGTGGGGGGGTGCCTGGCACAGGGGAGGGACCTGGTGGATTTCGGCAGAGGGCTCCCGCCTCCCGCAGGAACTGCCCTCTCTGAGGTCACCTGTGGCTTCCATGTTGCCACACCCAACGGACACTTCAGTCCTTATCTTTCTGGACTCTTTGCTGCTTTTGACACTGTGGACAACTTCCTCCTTTTGGTAACTCTCTTCTCTCTTGTTTTCTTTCATTCCACAACTCAATCTTTCAACAACTGTTTCTTGAGCAACTACTATGTGCTGGGCTCAGGGACATGCCATAAGACGATGTCCTTACTCTCAGAGTGTTTGGTCTAGTGTGAGAGGAGAGGGATAAAAGTAGGAACAAATGGCAGGTAGTGATCAAGCTACACAGAAAACGTTCACATGGCGGGGGATGGAAAGAGGGTAGTGGTGGTGGTGGAGGGCCTCCCTGAGAAAGTGAAATTTGAGCAGAAACCTGGAGGGAGTAAAGGACACTTAGTGGACGAGTGTTCGAGGCAGAGGGAAAAGCCGTGCAAAGGCCCTGAGGCAGGAGCCTGCTGGGGATGTTTGAGGAAGCCATTGTGGCTGGAGAACATTGAGGAAGAGCAGATGAGGAGGAGAAGAGGTCCGGGAAGAGGCTGGGCCAGGACATGTGGGCCTTGTAGGTTACTTCAAGGACGTTGTCTTTTACTTTGAGGGAAATGAAACATATAGGAGTGTTTTGAATATAAGAGTGATTTTTAAATGGTCACTGAGGCAGCTGCGGGGAGCATTGTATAATAGTTTGCTAGGGCTGCAATAACAAAGTACCACCAACAGGACAGCTTAAAATAGAAATTTATTGTCTTATAGGTCTGGAGGTTAGAAACCTGAGGTCAAAGTGTTGGCAGGGCCACGCGCTCTCTCTCAAGGTGCTAGGGAAGGACCCGGCCCACGCTTCTCCCCTCACTTCTGGTAGCTCGTTGGCTTGTGGCAGCAGAATGCCAGTCTTCACATGATGCTCTGTGTGGATTGGGTGCTGGTGTCCACATTTCTCCTTTTTACGAGGACACCAGTTATGCTGGAGTAGGGACCCCCCCATTCCAGTATGATGACCGCATCTTAACAGCTGATTACATCGGCAATGACCCCACTTCCACATAAGGTCATATTCTGAGGGACGGGGGTTAGGACTTCAACATAGGGATTTGGGGGAGGCACAGTTCGACCTATGACACAATTCAGCTCACATCATGTCGATTGTAGAAAGGCGAGGGTGGGCACAGGGAGACCCGCTAGGAGGTGACTGCAATGACCTAGGGAGAGAAGCAGCTGGCTTGGACCAAAGCGGTAGCAGTGGAGGTGGTGAGATGTGGTGAGAGTCTGGATCTGTTTGGAAGATAAAGCCGACATCATTTGCTGATGGGTTGAACGTGGAGTGTAGGGGAAAGAGGAGAGTCACAATGGCTTGGGTTTGGGGCATGAGTAGCTACAAGCACGGAGTTGGGTGTCTTTCTCTCCTAAATCCTCTCCTCCCTCAGGGACCCACCTCCGCAGCCTCTGCAGGGTCCTCTTTCTGGGCAGGTCCATCAACCGTTGGGTGTTCCGGGCTCAGTCCTTGGCTGCTTCTAGTCTCCCTGATGAGAGAGACGATCTGTTCCCATGTTGAAGCCATGTATCCTGAATGTACTGTTTGGGTCACTCCCACAGGCCCTGGCTCCGGAGGATGCTGAAGGAGGAAGACACGAAAGCAGGACGACCCTGAAAGATTGAGCCTCTTAATCCCGAAACAGGTAGCGTCTCTGGAAATTCTCGGTGTCTGAATGGTTTGTGACGGGGCCATAAGATCGTTTCTTTGACGCCTGTGGTGTGGGAAATGCCCCACGAAGGAGAGGAGGGCTGCTCTGGGCCTGGACAGCCATCGATTCCTGGAAAAGTTTGGGAAATGGCCAGTGATTGTGGAATCACGTATTGGGATTCAGTGTCACTTGGAATGGGGCTGAGGGCACCCTGTCTTGTCTCTCTGGACTTTGCAGAGCTGTTGTGAATAGTGAAGGATGTTCCTGAAGGCGAACTCTGGATGATTGGGAGGGAATTAGACATCTTTGGAGAATGGTAGACCCGAAGGCCGCTCTGAGACACTCCGCCGAGCCTGGCAGAGGCAGATTCCTGGACCAAGCAGCCTTTGAACTAGCCCCAGGGGCATTTCTAGTGTTTTTATCAGCTCTGGCCCCGTGTCTTCTTCCAGGCTCAGTTAGTCTGTCTAGAAAATAGACACAGAGCTGGGATTCCTCTGCCAGGTTCCACACAGAAGCTGTCTGAAGGAGCAATACATTTGCGTGTAAACAGATTTTTTTTTTTTCTTTTGCGGTTAAAACCCTGGTCTAGCAAGAGATGGTTGCTTTCCACAAATTCTCAGTGATGGTGGAGAAGGAGGGTGGTGACTGATGTCTCCATCTGATTCTTTTGGTGCGTGTGGGGTTTTTTCTCGGCAAGTGCCACACTTTTCTTCTCTGTTCTGTGAATTGATTGCTCCTGTTTCTTTTTTTGTTGTGGCTTATTTTGATTTAACTTCTAAGCCATGTGTCTTGGGGTTCCAGTTGGAAACAGATGATTCACTCAAGCGGAGAACCCCCAGAGACTCTACTGATGGGCCTGTTTATAGTGGCTGAGGCAGGGGTAGGAGAAACCAGCACCGGGCTATGGAAACTTCTCAGGGCCGGCGATGTCAGGGCGCTGTTCCCTTGCCCAGGCCTGAAAAGAAGAGGGTGGGGTTGGCTGCTGGAACTGGAAAGGGAAGCCCTATGGAAAGGCTGTCTCTGGTAGAAGGATGAAGTCAACCTACACCAACATGGCAGGAAAGAGCCACAAGAATGAATATCCTCATTGAACACCCCTCAGTTCTCCTGTCTCCTGCTGGTGCCCCCAGTTAGGCACACCAGTCAGAAGCCTGAAGGCAGGGGGTCATGTTGATGCTGTCCATAGAGGTCAGAACCTCTGGGGGGCGCAGAGCTGAGGGGAGAAGGGTGGAGGGATGAATATGGAGTTGCAATTGGAAAACATTTGACCCAGCAAGAGCTGCAGACTCCTTGGATTATGTTATAAAGGATACTAGAGGCCCAGTGCACGAAATTCTTGCACAGGCAGCGGTGTGTGTCCCTCAGCCCTGCCTGCACCGTCTCCAATCAGGGATCCCTCAAGGGATGTCTGACTGCCCGTTTAGGCCCAACCCCACCTAAACAGGCCTAAACGGGCAGTTGGACATCCCTCTCACAATCCAGGACTGCTGGCTCCCAACCGCTCACCTGCCTGCCGGCCTGATTGCCCCTAACCATTCCCCTGCCAGCCTGATCGATGCCTAACTGCTCCCCTGCCAGCCCGATTGCCCCTAACTACCCTCCCCTGTTAGCCTGGTTGCCCCTAACTGCCCTCCCCTGCTGGCCCGATTGCCCCTAACTTCCCTCCCTTTCAGGCCTGGTCCCCCCCAACCGCCCTCCCCTGCAGGCCTGGTCCCTCCCAACTGCCCTCCCTGCTGGCCTGATCGCCCACAACTGCCCTCCCATGCCGGCCATCTTTGACCACATGGGGGTGGCCATCTTGTGTGTTGGAGTGGTGGTCAATTTGCATATCACCTCTTTATTATATAGGATTTCTACTATGGAATCAAAACTGTTGGCTGTGAGGGCCAGAAGGAACAACAGAAATCCTCTAGTCAAATTTAGACCTTTTTATAGTTGAAAAGGCGACTTGCCCAAGGCCATTCATTAGTTCATGAAAGTGTTTCTTGAAAGCCCATTGCGTTTTCTTGAGAACAAAGTGAGGAACAGTGTAAAGCAAAATCTGAGGTAGTGCTTGGAAGAAGCTGTACATGTATACTTATTTCTCACTTGTCAGTTTGGATTCTTTGGGGTTGTGACTGTCAAAAAACCAAACTCAGAGGGCCTCCCCCAGCACAGGGGCTAATGAATCCGCTCATGGGATGGACTGCAGGGCAGGTGAGAAACAGCAGCTCAGCAAGCCATCGGCTGTCCAGTTTCTCTCCACCTCTCTGCTCACTCTACAAGGGGGGGGTCAGTTCATTCTCAGGTTGGCTTCTCTCAAGGGGGCAGATGGCTGTGCAAGTTCTTGGGCTCTTTCTTGCACATCCCAGTGGCCAGAAGTAAAGAAACATCACTTCTAGTAACTCTTAAAAAAGACGGAGAAAGTGTCTTTTCCAGAAATCCCTCCCCAGCAAACCAACCCTGGCATTTCATTGGCCTGAATTGAGCCATGTGCTTATTCCTTAGCCAATCCCAATGGCCAGGCAAATGCCCTCTGTTGATTGGTGGGGATGGGAGATTTTTTTTTCCTTCTGATTGGCCTATTCTTCTCCTGAGGGGAGTGTGTCAGCTTTCTCCAAAGCACCAGGACTGGGGGAGGTAGGGCCACAAATAAACAGAGCTCTGGGTACTGTTCGGGGAGGAAAATGGGTCCTGGGAGAGTGGCAGCTGACATCCACTATATTGTATCATCTGTAGCAATACTACTAATTTGGGTTCAGTGTTGGGGGTAGTAGTGAGAAGAAACCTGCTCTTAACTAGTAAAAGTCTGAATTTTAAAGTGTTTTAACCCAGTGTAGTTTCAGACGGAATCTTCCCAAACAGTTCCTGTTGGGATGCTTGCAATTAGCTTCTGCTTTTCAGTATGTCTTAAAACCTAGGACCTTCTAGGAGATTAAGTATGCCCTCTGCATTTCTGTTTTATTTCTAATTTGCTCATTCAACCTTTTTATAGCCAGAGTAAACACTGACCTCAAGTTTTGGGTCAGAGGAGATTAAATTACAGTCATGGTTCCTCATTTATAACCTCATCTATAAAGTGGGAATAAGAATAGCACCTACTTTATAGACTTGTTGTAAGGATTAACTGAGGTTATTTAAGTAATGTGCCCAGTGGCCCAGTGGCTGGCCCAATAAATGTTACCTTTATTAGCGTCATATATCTCAAAATATTGTCACAGGTATATGTTTAGTGCATATTTAATCTGGGAAATTAACTCTCTTCACAACAGATATAGTATCTGTTACTGATTAACTCTGTTAGAGACGAAGTAAATAAAGGTGTTAAAAAATTTAGTGTTTATGGATTTCTTTTTTAACTGAAGTGTTTTTTTTTTTAATTTATTTTGGGGAAAACCTAAATAAAGAAAATTTTAGGTAGCGTACAGTTAAAGGTAGGTATGGAATCCCTGGGAAAATGGGGATTTTTAATTTTACTCTAAAATATTAATGTATTCTTAGTTGAGAAATCTTTTAAATAGTTGATGGCCTGTCATGCCCTATCCCCACTGGTTTTTTTTTTCTTTTTAAATATGTTTTATTGATTTTACAGAGAGGAAGGGAGAGGGATAGAGAGTTAGAAACATCAATGAGAGAAACATTGATCAGCTGCCTCCTGCACTGGGGATCGAGCCTGCAACCAAGATACATGCCCTTGACCAGAATCGAACCCGGGACCCTTCAGTCCGTGGGCCGCCACTCTATCTACTGAGCCAAAAGAGTTAGGACCCAGCTGATATTCTTGCCTTTGTTCTCAGTTTGGAGACCTGGGGGCGCATATGACCCTCCCTGGCTTTGGCTTCTTCAGGCAGCCACATAGTTGGGCTGTTCTGAGTGGATGGGTTTGAGGATCACCTGGATTGGGTGAGACGCTGCTGAAGCCAGAAGCTAGTCTTGGGCATTTATTTCATTGGAATTTCAGTGGACAAAATATTGTAACTCATTCTCTAGAGCAGTGGTTCTCAACCTTCCTAATGCCGCGACCCTTTAATACAGTTCCTCATGTTGTGGTGACCCCCAACCATAAAATTATTTTCGTTGCTACTTCATAACTGTAATTTTGCTACTGTTGTGAATCGTAATGTAAATATCTGATATGCAGAATGTATTTAGGCGACCCCTGTGAAAGGGTCGTTCGACCCCCAAAGGGATCGCGACCCACAGGTTGAGAACTGCTGCTCTAGAGCCTTTGGTGCCATAAACCTCTCAGAATCCCAGGATGGTCTTGATTTGGGGTTCCCAGATTAGTGATGGGGAGAGCACAAGTTGTTACAGAACCCCCTAACTCTATCAGCTGTGTTCCCAAACCAGGCGGAGATGGCTTTGTGGGCCGGGGTGGACAGGGTGTGACGAGGGGCCTGTGGGTAGAGGGAAAAGTTCTAGAGCAACCAGGAACTTACAGACCAAAGATTTCTAGACCATAGAATTTTTCACCCCCCTCTCCCCTGAGTAATGATTAAAATTAGAGTTAAATTTTCTATAGGTTGTTTGTTGCCCCCAGGGCTGGTCACCATTGTGGTAACTAGATGGCTCAGAGGGTGCTGTAGACAAATGGTTCTCCCACATAGATCGCCTGGGCCAGTGGTCAGCAAACTGCAGCTCGCGAGCCACATGCGGCTCTTTGGCCCCTTGAGTGTGGCTCTTCCACAAAATACTGACTTCTGCGCATGGGCCACGAAGTTTCAATCGCACTGTACTTGCACGCCTGCAGGCGGTATTTTGTGGAAGAGCCACACTCAAGGTGCTAAAGAGCCGCATGTGGCTCTCGAGCCGCAGTTTGCCGACCACTGGCCTGGGCCAAGAAACTACCAAAATGAAAAAAATTTGGAAGATTGGCTTGGGGCTACCAATTTTCTGTTTTTCCAAGGAGTGATGTTTTTGCAAACCTAGCATCCGTCACCACAATTTCATAACAGAAAGGACTATCTTGATGCTAAAATAGAAAAAAAAGGAGAAATTTAAGACTAAAACATGAA